ACAAGTATAACATATACAATGATGCACAAGCTAAAATAAAAAATTCTTTTCAATACCAGTTCTTATGGTTTATCGTGAGTGACCGCTGCACATTTTGCTGTTTGAAAAGTGCCTGAGTGTTGGTTGCTTCTGTTTTGTCGTCTAGGATTTTAGAATTTTACACCCCTCCCACCTCCCCCAGCACGAAAAATGTAATGCAAAACAAAGTATACAATGTGATATCATGTAATGTATTGTTTTGCATTGTATTTAATGTGTACATTGTATCTGTATTACATGGTAGTACATTGGCTAGTTTTTGTCTTGATTCTATAATGAAATATGTACGTGATATTGCTTTTCGTGGACGCAAGTCGTAAGTAGAAACATAAATTAATATGTACGATCATTCAACCTATTTTCTAGTGGATCTAAGGGGAGCATCAATGGCTAGTTGAAGCAGGCCCCAGTGGTTGTGTTACACCAACGTACACTGAATACACATTGCCATCCTACATTATGTTGACTCAAAAAGCATGTATTTTCGATTGTTTTACTTGAATTACTATACAGGGTGTATCAAAAAATTTAACAGATAGGAAAACGTAGATAAAGTTATCAGCGTGTAAAATCTGGAAAAACCTTTGATGAAATGATTTATCTCACAGTAAAATTTTGTGCAAATAATAGCCATATCTTGAGTGTGTATTGTGTTGCCGAGAAGATCTTTTGAAATAGCCTGCGCACGATAATAACAAAGCTAAAAAGCACATGAAACACATACGGTTAAAATATGGCAAAAGTTATACAAGCTAACAAAGATTCAAGAAATTTTGCCATGGCATCCAAATTGGAGAATATTTTGCGTTTTAATTATTTATATTTAGATTAATTTAAGCTCAAATTTTTGCATAACTGGTGAGGATTATAACAAAAAAACATTGAATTTAACTCGTTAAACTTGAAACGTTGTCTGATTTATAAAAAAATTAAAAGGGACCCGTGGGGCACTATATGACTTGCGCCAGAAAAAGCAAACCAAATTTAAGCCTATTGCTTTAGTTCGAGCACCAAGAAGTTAAATTTCGGTTTATAACCTCTACAAATTTGTCTAATTATTCATTATGAATAATTTTTGGCAATTGGAAGAATTTTAATGGCTAGTAACTTTATATACCTGTATAAATATTTGATTAATTTGCGTTATTAATTTCATTGCATACTTGTTTAGCTATACATAACTAACAACACGGATTTTATCGTGCTTACTTGCTACCCGCAGAAAGACTAATTCCTTATGATTCATGCGTACGTAATTTTCAAGCATCATTTTCATGATGATGAAATTAAACAGTTTTTACAAAGTCATGATTTAAAACGCTTTTCAAATGGTTTTCAAAAGGCTTTTAACCGTTTTTTTGTCAGTTCACTTTTATCATCATTATGTCAGTGATAAATTAAAGTATTTTTTTAAAACGTTAGTTTGTTCAATTCAATGACATTTGACAATCAAATTATCGAGTTCAATGTTTGTCATATTGTTTCTTTTTGCTTCATGCCAAAAATATTGAATTTACGCGATGTACAATGTCCAACTTACCACCATCAGTTGGAAATCTTCTCTTTAGTTTGCTTAATTTGTGAACAATTCTTTCAGTTTATTGCGCACCTGTTCGCTAACCGATTAATGCTCCCATGTGCGACTTTTACCAGAAAACAAATGCTAATAAAGTTATGAAACACAGACGAAATCCGAAAAAAGCATCATCTGATGTCCTGCACAAAGAAACAATCAAGAAACAATTTATGGAAAGCCTATTTAGAATAAATGGATCTTTTTAAGCTTTCACTAAGGAAACTTTGTTCATCTACTTGATGTCAATGCAGAACAACTGAAATATTAAATTGACAAGAAAGTTTTGCTTTGACATGCTAACTTCCTTTGGTCATGTAATGATGAAGTAGAAATGGTTTTTTAACGGAATTAATTCCAATGAAACTTATGACATCCATGTAACAGAGATGAAGAATGAATACCTAATAACATAATGTCATGTACTTCAAGGAGCTGTTCACATGAGCCCAGCTAACCGGGATTCAGCGAGACGTGAAATGATTTTGAGATATTGAAAGCAGTAAAAACTTTAAACGCAAAACTTACAATCTTTCTTATAAGTCATGAGTCAATTTAGTTGTAATTTTCAAATCTGGCCTAATTATTTGTTTTCATTTTAAAGGCTTTGTGAATTTGCAAATTCAGAACATAGGGAAATTGATTAAATAACTTTTTGGTTGTGAAGGAATTAATCTTTTCCATTGGCTAAAATGATTAAACGCTTCGCTGAATCCCGGCTACCCGGGCTCATATGAACAGGCCCTAAGTACACCTATCACGATTTCCGTGTTATTCTCCATGTAATTATTCTCAAACTATTATGTAATCTGTACTAGCCTGATTGAGTTGTTAAATATTTACAATAGATGTGTATTACGCTAAAGTTTCTTTTTCGAATCGGATAAGATAAATATAATGCACATGCAGTTCATACTTTTCAATTCTGATGGCTATCCACGTCCACGTCGGCTTCACTGGATGTTGATTTATAAAAAGCTTATCTCGTTTGAAAAAATTCATTTTCCTAATCAGAAAGCCCAACAAAAACATTTACGCAACTTTTGAAGGGTCATCAAGGCTTTTTGTGCAAAACTAGTGTATTATTCATTGTTAGAGTGCTGAAGTAAACTTTAAAGAAAGTAACTAGCTATTAACTTAGTTATTCAAAACATCACTTACCTGATTTGGATAAGTTAGATAGCGACTCATGGTCAACGACGTTGTAATGCTCAACTCTTAGAACTAGACATGATCACGATTTATGACATCCACGTGGCCCATGGCTCATCGTTCTTGGACACACTTGATCAAGATTGGACATATGCAGACATGCTTAAGACACTTTGCATTTTGCTGTATTTACTTTATCTTGTTTGGCTCCAAAGATATTAAAGGGAGTACTAAAATTATTGTACGATCGCTAAAGCAAAACTACTTTGAGGTACATTGAAAAAAATTGCTACATCCTGTTAATGGAAATGATATTAAGATGGCGTGTTGTTTGACAGATATACAAGGTGGAAGGGAGTAAATTATTTGGTTGTCCCATTTTTTTTTCTTTGGCTCGAGAGTCCATAAAATCACCAATTTAATTCATAATTCATTTTGTTGTAGTGAGGAAAACATCTGGATTTCATTCTTAGAGAAAGCGTTCAATTTGTAAATTAGCTATTTAAAGCAGTTTCAGCCCGCATTCTCACTCCATATCTTTTTTTTTTAATACGTTCAATATTCGAAGTTAATTACCGCATTGCAAATGTTAAGCCCGGTTTTCACATAATCGTTTCGATCTTCTGTAGTCTGAAAGCGTGCAGGAACGATATCACAGGCAATCGTTTCAATCGTCTGGTTATATGGATTCCCGGGCTTTATCCGCCTCAGCTTCGCCTCGGCAGATAGCAATGACATCGGTCTGAATAATTCCTGATATCATGCTCAACCTCATCCAAAAATTGCTTATTAGTATCCAAATAATAAAGATTACTAAACTGCATCTCATATTTTTTTTCAGCCAACGCGTTCATATTTTTAATTAGCATTGCAGAAGAATTTTAATGACTACATCCTAATTGTTTATTGTTTAGTACATGGATTTAAAGACTTAAGCTTAGTTTTCACTAGGAACATAAGCATAAGGACAAACAAAGAGAAAAGAAAACACAAAAGAAGGCAATGAAGCGACTGACACAAGCATCAGCATAAGCATAAGAACAGCAACTTGACATAAATAAGGCAGGACAAAAAAAATTTGAAAAGAAAATCCTTTTTCTTTTATTTTATCCAATGTCTGGAGAATAGGCTAGGCTTTGTTTTATGGCTTGTGCTTATGTCGCTAATGCAAACTAGGCTTAACAAACAATTGCTAAGTGCGTTTGCAGTCTGCACGGTATCCCAAACAAACTTCTCGTCTTTGAAATCATCCTATATAATTTGTACGATTCAACAATAATTGCTACCCAAGAAGCCGTATACGTGGTAAAAAACAACAATGCGTAAAGTTTCTTCTGATAACGTTAACGTCTTTTGGGAGTCAGTTACTGCCTAATCATACAAATTTTAAATGTCTGCTGCTGAATTCAACGATGAACAGATTATTTATGATGCCCTGGAGCTGCTGAAATGGCTAACGAATAGAAGATCAAGAAAATCATACATAAAAAATTTATTTAGAAATCACTATGAAAATAGCAAGCCTTTTTAATATCTCTATACCAAACGTAGAATACTGGTCTTCTCTATAGATTTTGTAAACAATGACAAAGAAATCGTGATTACTTAATATTTTTGTTCTTTTTTCAGATTTTTTTCTACTATAATTTTTTTCCTTGTATTTATGAGAGAATAAACAAACTTTGTAATTTGGTGGAAATGTTAAGTTGCTTTAACATAAAAAAGGTGCGCAGCGCGCACACGTTGTTGGGCTTAAAAAAACAAGGTCACAAACGTCACATGGTCACCTGGATTTGAATTTCGAACAAATGACATGCTCAGGCACGTGACTCATAACTTCATTATGACATGTTATAGCTTTTCGCTGTGTAAAGACACTGTTGTATATGTTATACATGTCACAATCATGTCACAATTTGACCGTATTTAGTATTTAAATAGATAAGGCTAAAGGAAATGGGAACTATAGTCCATGAGGTTAATGCTATCCTTGCAAACTAATGGGAGCACTTAGAGGCTGTCTATATGAAGAGAGTTATTCCAACTAGTTAGGTTAAAGTATAGGTGATCATCACTTACTATTATGAGTTATCCTAAGGTAAGTAGGTGGGTAAATTGAAGGTGACCATCACACAATATTAACTTTTATCAAGAGGTATCCTAACTAGGTGGGTTTTTATGTGTGATATACTATCTTTAGTGTTTTAACTCTTCAAAATAAACTGCCTGAAAATGATCAAAGTTCTTGAATTAATGATTCTATCAATTCTTTTTAGTGCGTATTTCACAGTACACTTTTGTAAATTAGAAAAAGTTGTGTAAATAAATCAATGAAAACGTCTTGTATCTTTCAACACAAGTTCATCATAAAAGTGCACAGCAATTTGATCCGCCCCGACAGCTGCCACATCTATACAACACTGGCAATATAAGAGGACAATTTGATGGAAGACAAAATCCAGGAATATTGGGATCAATGTCGCACACACAATCTGCATCATAACCCACATATCTTGTTTCTAAAGAAGAGGAAAACAAAAATAATTTCTCTAATTGATGAAGGTAAATTTGTGCCAAATTTCTGTACCACGTGGCTGTGCAACTTAGTGCTATATATTTTGATATAATACACACGTGGTTAACCCTCCATCTAGCCCCTGTTCCTGTTGATCATAAACAGATGCGTAAAGACATTGTCACAAAAAATTTATCCTACGCAATAGGAGTACGATTTTGTTCCAGTGGACTGACTTACTGTTTTGCTCACAATATGTCATTAAGTTTACTTTGCATGAAAACATTTTTGAACAACATATGCAGCCAGGACCTTAGCTACAAGATTTAATGATAGGGGAGGGGAGTTATTCATATATTAAATTATGCCAGATTGATTCCTTTTAAAAGTGCTTTGGCTTTCTAAAGAAATCAGTTGGGCACAATTAAATAAATTTGAAAACCCCCCTCGATCCCCGTTCCAATTAATTTCCTAACAACGATCCTCAAAATTCTGTGTACTTTGACGCTTGACAAAACTAAAGAGACAAAGCCTTCATCAACAAATTTGATAAAATTTCGATAAAATATTGACAACTTATATCTTTTAGGGATAGATGTATGTAAAAATCGCACCTCGGCTCTGTCGGTTAAAATTTAAATTATCAAATACTTATGAAGTTTAACCATTAAAATTCAAACAAAATGGCACTAAACATGGTCGTGTTAAAAAAATTTGTAAGGCACCATTATCTTACGCGTATACATTGCACATTTCTATTTTTAAAACGTGATGATGACACTAATATAGAAAACAACGAGCTCTAACAGACGTTTTAAATCGCTTGCAAAGCTCACATTTGTATGACATTCAAATGGCTTAGACAATTGTCAATGAAACAGATGTAGGTGTTATGGCAATCCTTTAATAAATGCATTAGAAACACTTTTCCTACGTTAGTTTCGTTTATATGTCTTTGTTAAAAGTGTACTGTTGTACATCCAGTCCGAAAATAAAGATCAATAATATGGAAATAGCCTGGTCGCTCGATCGTTCAACTGTTTTATACTTTTTGCAGTATAACATATTGGTTGTACTGACTACATTCTACTCACAAAAATTAAAAACAAAGTTTTTTGCGAATTAAGTTAAAGACAATACCTTTTTCATAAAACGTCATGTTGTTAGGGAAAAGTTTTCTAGCATCAACAGTAACGGCAAACAAGATCAAAATCAATAAAACTGCCTTCATCCTGTAAAACATAAATCATTATATAGGGAATACTGTGACGTTTCGATAACGTCAGACTTATAACTTAGCTTTATCATGCTGACTCATTTTTATTATATAGTTACATTCTACTTTTAGTTACATTACGTCATGTATTGTAAATAGCAATGATGCCATAATTATAAAAAGGACATTACGTTAACTTTGTAATTAGCTTCCAGACAATATATAAGCAGTGGACAGCTAAATCGAGAACGATTGTACTTTGGTGCATAAGTAGTAAACTGATTTTACATTGGCGACGAGGATTAAAGAGCGCCTGTTACATACATGGTTATAATGCTCCTAAACATACATGATTATAATGCTCCTATACATAAATGGTTATAATGCTCCTATACATAAATGGTTATAATGTTCCTATACATACATCATTATAATACTCCTATACCTACAATATAATGCTCCTATACATAAATGGTTATAATGCTTCTATACATACATGGTTATAATGCTCCTATACATAAATGGTTATAATGCTCCTATACCTACAATATAATGCTCCTATACATAAATGGTTATAATACTCCTATACATACATGATTATAATGCTCCTATTCATACAATATATCCATGTATGTGTAGTGGCATGATAACCAAATACATATTATTTTACATATAAAAAACATATTGCTTATAGACAAGAAGTCATTATGTGCTAATTATTAATCATTAAGAGGCTTTTTAATTGACGATGGAATTTAAGTAACAACTCCAACTGATCACATGAGACCCATACGACATGCACGTGTATAATGGTTTGACGTCATTCAACATTTATTTTTTGCCTTTTCCTTAATAAGATTTTGTAATAACACGTCATAATCTCATGACAGGATTGCATGATAAGAACAAAGGGGTAGACAGTTGAAACAGAGCTGCATAATGTAGGTCTGTGATTACAAAAAGTTAGTAAGGTTAGGCATTAATTTAAGAGCACCCCTAATTCAAGACATTCGTTAATGAACTTTCTTGCTATTTCAGGAACGAAACACTTGTATAAATTTTAGATATCAATCTTTAAAGTTTATCCATCACATTCTGTGCACGTGATTGATCTGTGCATGCAATTCATCATTTTAAGCTAGAATGTATTGTAAAAACGTACAATAAACACAGCATTATAAGATGATTTCATGACTAAAGCCAAGTATTAGGTATTATAAATCTTTAAGTTTATCCATCACATTTTGTGCATGTGATTGATATGTGCATGCAATTCATTGTTTTAAACAAGAATATATTTTAAAAACGTACAATAGACTCAGCATTATAAAATGATTTCATGACTAAAACCAAATGTTATGTATTTTATTCTTGTGGTATAAAATACCTCTTTGCAGCTATCTTTCTCACATTTCACAAATTGGGAAACATTTCCTAGTGGCATTTTAAATATCTTCTCTTTTAGACATATATGTATAGACTATGAAATTTCATGTAAGATTTACCTTTCTTTTTTTTCTTTTCTGTAACAAATAAAGAAATAACAGAATATCTTGGTATTCTAACTTCTTTTCTTTGTTCTTCTTCCTTCTTTTTTATAGCTTAATTATGAAGAATTGATAGCATGAAACTTATACAAAATGTGCGCGCTTGTTGCTTTGTTTTGCAATGACTTGTCTTATCTTGTCTTAAACGTTTCTCACATAATGTTAAAATCTCATGATATGGCAGGATTGTATTACAAAAACAAACTCATTATATAGTATAACTTGGCCAAAAAGTAGTTTCGTGAGCGCTGAGCTTCTGAGCTGAACTTCTTGCAGTATTTTGATACTATATAAGCTATATGTGAGCCTCATTTATACGCATGTTGTATGTAATAAAAATAGGTTTTTTCAAAGTCAAATTTACGCATATTTGAAAAAATTATACAGGAGGGTATCAACTAGGCCAGTTAGTAGTTGAAATATAAATATTAAAGCCCAGCATGAAACTGTAAAGTAGCAACAAAGGAAAATATTATTTTTTATTACAAACTACGAATGATAGCAAACAATTTTTCTAAATCCAAGCTGTTCAGATCCACAGTTTATTACATCAAACATTACATGAAATGTATGAATGGAAAAGCAGAAAACAGTTAAATATACTTTTTGTTTTGTCAAACGCATGCGAAGTGACATTGTAAAAGGTTACAAGTGAAAAACTTATAAACATGTCTAGAGTTGCTTTAAATGTGCGTTTGCGATCGAAGTCTGGGCCTCTTAGGCTATGTTTACATTGTATCGGATCGGTTTTTCCTCCGCTCACAAAATGCCTCCTATGCCAACTTCAGGAGTGTTTGTTTTCGGTTCCCTGTGGTCATGGCAACGACCAACTTCACCCTCCCAGCATCAACTAGCACTAATTTTATAGTAAAAAGCAAGCTTAGTAACAATTTATAGGAGAATTATAACCATGTATGGAAAACTGTTTTCCGTTTTAACTTAACAAAGATAACATTTAATAAGCCAAGCAATTTCTAAATTGAACCTCGCTTTCAACACTTATATTATAAAATTTTCATTCACCTTGAACATTAAATTTCTTTTTACCTTGCAATATTTTTTTGATTCAATGTAGAAAGTAACTTCTCTTCTCAAGTAATTTTGCGATTATAAAAGCACACTTTTTGGATTCAAAGGAATTCTTTTGAATGCATAGAGACAGCCGCCCAATTTATTACGTATCTAAGCGTATATAAAGCATTTCCAAATCACGTACAGAATTTCCTTTAAAATTGCAAATTACCGTCTATTTAAACGATGTATGTAATAAAAAGTTACTTTGACAACTGAAGCAAACCCTCCTTTTTCCAAGCATTTACAACACCTCAAATTAATCCGAACTCTTGAATATCTCGCAGTGTAGCCGAAAGGAAGAGGCATCAAATCAGGATACTCATTTCCAACATCACAGCCATTTTGATTTCTTCCTTGATATTTTTCAGCGTGAAGCTTATCTGAAGTGATGTGATTGCTTAAACCGTGCGACATGGGATTTGACAAGATAAAAGAATGTCCAAGAAGCCGCTATGCTAAACATCGACTAAGGCTCTCCGGATATAGACACCTCTACAAAGTACATGACATTAAAAAATAGTAGCTATAAATTATTCGTCACTTCAATGCTTGTTTTTCTTCATGATCTTCATTTTGCAAGTGGAAGCTTTGAGTGGAAGTTTTCAAGCATGGCTATCATTATATTGGCAAATACATATTCAGAGGAAGATAACTTTCTTTATGATACTGCAATTCAATGAAAAGGAACTTAGATGTAAAAAACGAGCTTTTTAATTCATCCAAAGACCAAACTCTTTTTTCTTGACATTGGTTGACTTTTTAAGAGAAACACCTAAAAAAAATAAAATTAATAAACCAAAAATGTCGAAAAATTGGCAAAAATTTAAAAAAAATATTTACTGAGCTAAACAAAAATTGTGTTAACAATCGAAAGTTTCTACCTGTGAATGAACTTGAACCAATCATTCCACAATCTCACGGAGAAGCCACTATCTTCTCTGCTCGTCCTTGTACTATCCCTCGTCAATAACATTTATTAGATTACTCTTTTGCAATGCTTCATCTGAATATAGAACGTTTGCAGAGTACACTTTGAATCTTCTTGAAAATCCCTTGCGATGATTGCTTCCTCTTCACTTTCGAAATCCGACTCCTCGTCTTAAACGAATGACGCTACATGGTAATTATTTTTACATATCTTCAGCAACATCATGAACAGTTTTCAATACTATGTACCACGTAATCCAACAAGCTTCCAAACTGTGTTTGTGATTCATCGTTATTTTTTTTGAACATATCTTCGGTAGACTCGGTGTTATTAATGGATTGTTTTTGCATTGGAACCTCGTCCTCGCTAGAGCTTTTATTGTCGTCAACATGCTTGGAATCATACGTGTTTTCATTCGTACACAAATTCTCATCCAAAAATCTAAAGCGTACGCTAGGTGCTTCAACTACGTATATAAATGTAAATATAAAGTTAAATGTATGTATAGTAGATGTCAACTAGCAGTAGAAGCTGGGTGCGACAAATTTATGCAGTGGCTTAGCAGTCCAGACGTTTCGGGTCGCGACCGCACTCTCCCTGCGTACCCAGAACAAAGCCTATCGCAGGTGATCTTGGGGTCTGATGAGCGGAAGCTTGCTATTGACATCTCCAAGTAGGATAGCGTGGAAAGGGCCAAAATCGCTCAGAAAAACGTTAACATGCAGCATTCTACTGCCTTACGCTTAAGAAGGCATCGGGAAGTATGGACCGAAAACAGGGGTTTCTGCTTTCGAATTTTATGTTTTTGCTTATAAGAGTTCTTCTCTTTATAAAATAAACCAAGCAACGTTTCAATTAACTTCTTCTGACACTGTGCTTTTTGTAGGAACGTATAACTTAAGACAACCTTAATCATGTTTTACACAATTTTTATTGCTTTACATCCTTCCGATTTAACGCTCGCATTTACTGTTTTCTCATGTATCACGAGCAAACCATTAACGGGCTACATGGCAAACAACGATATTGTGATTGGATGGGGTTAAGTGCGTTGCCATGGGTTTTGGTGTATTGTTGATATGATCGATGTTATCATTATAAGAGTGTATTGTTGTAGCTTTGGTGTTGTTTGTAGTTTTTTTGTCCTTTTTCTTTAGTTGTGAGTATATGACGGGTATGTCGATATGTCTGTATATTGTGTCGTTGTCTTTACTGTACCAAGCTTCTTTAAGTTCTCGTTCGTTTTTAGTCTTTACGCGTCCGAGTACTTTAGTTTCTGTCCAGTCGAATGTGTGGTTGTTTCCGTGGGCATATGTTCTGCCAGTAGTGAGTTCTGATCTCGTCGTTTTATGAAGTTTTCGTGTTATGTGAGTCTTGTTTCAATTTTCTTAGATGTTTGTCCTATGTATTGTTTTGAGCAGTCTTTACATGGTATCATGTAGATCGCGTCAGTTGTATCATGAATTGTTGTTCTGTGTTTATGTTTGGTGTAATATGATTAGAGTTTTTGTGTAGGTTTGTGGGCGACGTTAATATTAAATGGTCGAAGAAGTCTGGCAGTCATTTCTGATGTTCCGTTTATGTGTGGTAATGTGACGATTTTTACTGTTTCGTCCGGTTTCTTGTTGCTTTTGTCGGTTTGTGTTTTGATTTGTATTTTCTTTATAGTTTTGTTTATGAAGTTTCTATGGTAATTGTTTTTATAAATAGTGGAGTATAAGTAGTTGCGTTCTGTTTTCTTGGCTTCTTCGGTGTTACAATGAGTGTTTATCCTGTTAAAAAGTGTTCGAATGCAGCTTATTTTGTGTTGTGTTGGGTGATTGCTGTTGAAATCGAGTATTTAGTCCGTGTGGGTGGTTTTGCGGTATACTTGTGTGTTTAGTGTACCGTCATCTGTTCTGGTTAGTAGGATGTCAAGGAAAGTGAGTTGTTAGTTGTGCTCTTTGTCTTTAGTGAAGGTTATGTTCTTTGTCGTATTGTTTATGATGTGTAAGATTTGTTCAGTTTTGTCCTTCTAGACTGTGGCAAAGATGTCGTCGACATATCTTTTCCATAGTCTGATGTTTGTATTGTTTGTGACTGATTGTGTTTCGTGGTGTTGCATGACGGCTTCTGCAAAAAAGGTAGATAGTGGTGACCTCATTTGTGTGCCTGAAATTTGTCTGTAGTATATGATTTGGAGGGCGAATTCAGTGAAGAGGCAAAGGTTGAGTAAGTCTAGTATGTAATTTTTGTCTAGTTGTGTTGTAGCTTGCCAAGTTCTGTCTATTGTGAAATTTGCCTTTTAATCACTAGTTGAAAAACCTGAATGGTATAAACGTGACTGAACACGAAAATGTCGGAACTTGGAGAATACTGAACAGGAAAAAACCCTTAGCGATTTTAGCCGACGTTCCGCACCCCAGATGCTCTTATAAACAATAAACTTTACTTACTTTTGCAACGAGTCAAAAAGCAAAGAAAACAAATGAAAAATTTTATTTTAGTTTTTGAAGTTTTTCGCCATTTTGAACATACAAATAACGAACCGAAACTGCTATTTTTCAGCTTAACTACGTTAAATCGATCACTGGAACGGATAATTTTCTACTTTGGACGATAAAATTGTGTATTTGATGGGAATTTCTTAAAACGTGTGCTTTGCTTATCCAATTTACATCGAAATAAGTCAAACCTAGCGCCACCTAAGCGTCCCTATTTTGCACCGTTTCATTCAGTGCTTTGCGTGACAGGTGTCACTAACGCCTAAATTTTTAGCCAGCACCTGCTGTATGACATAGATTAGATGAAAATACCTCAAGATAATATATCAAACATAAAAATGTTTTTACCAGTAATAATGCTTGTGTATTTCGAATAAATACAGCTCAAATGAAAATGCAATTTCGACAGAAACCACTTGAAGAAGCACACGTTAGGTTTGGTTACCGAAACCAATCAACCGGTAACGCTTGCTTTAAAATTATATGTTGTACTTTGAAAATCACATGAATCACTTTGATAGGAACACGACTGGTGAACATGGAAACCTTTTTGTAACTATTTAGTAATGTAAGATTTAAAGTCTTAAGCCTAGTTTTCACTAGGGACATAAGCATAACGACAAACAAAGAGAAAAAAAATACAAAAGAAGGCAATGAAGCGACTGACACAAGCATCGCTTAAGCATAAGAACAGCAACTTGACATAAATAAGGCAGAACAAAAACAAATTGAAAAGAGAATCCTTTTTCTTTTATTCTCTCCAATCTCTGGAGAATATGCTTGACTTTGTTTTATCGCTTGTGCT